GAACAGGTGAAAAAAAAACAAGTTTAACAAAAAACAGGTTTTAAAAACAGGTTCTTAAAATCATCAGAATAGGTGGAAAAAAAAAACAGGTTTAACAAAAAACAGGTTTTAAAAACAGGTTCTTAAAATCATCAAAACAGGTGAAAAAAACAGGTTCGAAAACAGGTTTAACAAAAAACAGGTTTTAAAAACAGGTTCTTAAAATCATCAGAACAGGTGAAAAAAACAGGTTCGAAAACAGGTTTAAAAAAACAGGTTTCAAAAACAGGTTCTTAAAATCATCAGAACAGGTGAAAAAAACAGGTTCGAAAACAAGTTTCAAAAACAGGTTCTTAAAATCATCAGAACAGGTGAAAAAAAAACAAGTTTAACAAAAAACAGGTTTTAAAAACAGGTTCTTAAAATCATCAGAACAGTTGAAAAAAACAGGTTCGAAAACAGGTTTAACAAAAAACAGGTTTCAAACCAGGTTCATCACACGTACGATGACATCGCTACCTCCATTTTATTTATCATGTGATAAATACAATTAAAATATAGCACGATTATTGTGTTACAATAAATATAAACAATTTTATAGCTTCGTTGATAGTTTTTTTTCTAACACTCTTTTTAAATAAAAAAAAACAACCTGTTTTTTGCTTAAAAATGTATTAAAGTTGCTTCTTAACATTTAATAATACTTTTATGTACTAGTAAAGTAGCTTAAAAACTTTAATTGTTCAATTATCATAAAGAAATTGGGTTACACAGCTCAAGCAGAAATTTGTGAAACATGGAAAATGATAACACTCCACAGGTTAGTTAATTGCGCACATATTTTTTTTGTGAAATACTATTAAAATACTATTGAAAGTGCTTAAAAAAAATTAATTTAGGGTAAACGGTATATGGTATAAAGGTTTAATAATGTTAATTTTTTAGCAATTAACGTCAATAGCATTATTTATTAGTTAGATAGCGTTAAATATACATTATTTATTAGTTAAATGACGTTAAATAACGTTAGATATATATTAATTAACGTCACAAAGCATTATATTTAAGGTTGCTTGCCAAAACTAGGAGGTTTCGGCGGGATGGCGTATGCGAAACTGCCGAAACTAGTTTTGCAAAATTGGTCTAAAATGTTGAAATGCCGTAATCGCTGAAACCTGCCAAAACTGTCTAAGCTGTTGTAACTGTTTCGGCGTAGTATATCATATGATATACATATAGTTTTGGCAATATTATGAATTATGATTAATTTCAGCATGGATTTTTTTTGACGCAATGCCGTATTCAGCCGTATTGAATTTTTATAGACGTAAGGCGAGACAAAGTTAAAAATTCAGTTTTCATATCCCGCCCGCGTCGATAAAGTGACACTCTGAACTTTAAATTTTTTTTATGATAACCAATCAAATTTAACTCACGTGAATGTACTGAAAATTAAAACTTTTTTAAAACTGTTTTTAAATTTAAGCTTAAAATATTAAATGTTTTATCAAAATGTTTAATTGCCAATCCGTCTAAAATCGTCACTGCGTTACTAATAAAATTTGGGGATATTAACGATAATAAAAAAACCCGTTTTTTACATCTCACGCGCGGGATAAACTTTCACCCATTTCACCCATTTTACAAATAAAAGTGCCCTTCAATTTTTTACTAGTTCTATAAAGAAAATATTTAAAAAAAAGTCTTTAAAAAAAGCTTAGAAAGCCAAAAAATATATGTTTGTAATGTAAATAACATAATATAGTGAAATAAAATATTAAAATTTCTTACATTTTAAGGTGTAAATCTGACGCGCGTACATAGTAAACTCATTATTTTGCATATGAACGTATAATTTTTTTTTGCAAATTCTTTTTTTTCAAGTATTTTTTCAGTATATAATATGACCTTTATTTATAGTTAATATATCGTCTATGAAAATATCTTTTTCTGAAGATTGTGTTCTAGTACAAAATCAGCAAATTTAACCCCAAATTTTATTATCAACGCAGTGCCGTTTTTAGACGAATCGGCAATTAATATACATGCTGCACTGCTAAACGCGAAATTAAAAAAAAATAAAAAATTGTCTAAATCAAATCTTTGTACGCTTTCCCTTATCTTTACCACCCTGTTTCCACTTTAGACGTTTTTTTGAAATGGCAGTATTATCACTGCAACTACTGCAATGTGGGAATTTGTCTTCTGCTGTTTCGTTAATATCCAAGCTTCCACACTCAATGCAAACGTCCGGATAAATTCCAGCTGAATAATATGGTTTTTCAACCTGTGACGTACAAGACCAAGAATCATTAACAAAAACTCTTGAAAAAAGTTCACGAATAGAATCCTCCATATTGTTATCAGATTCATTCTCATCATCTGAGTTTTCAGGTTCGTCTTCATTACAATCATCCCCCTCATCCAAATTTTCTATTTCATCATGTTGCTTTGATGGTACGGGTGTGATTATTGCCAAATCGCATGTATTATGAAATGACATGCCGCAGGTATAGAAGATTGTGTCTAAGAAACTTTGTAGCCTTGTCCTATCCTTTTTGGACAATTTCCTGGCGCTGAATAATAGACGTGGTTTCTCACACTCAGCACAATTTACAACAACACCAACATTTTTTAAGGACCCCGGATATCTCCAAAACAGGTCATAAGTCACACTTTCGGCAGATTGGCCCATTTTTCAGGTGCTCAAAAAATCGTTTTTTGTAAATATCTCGGCATCCAGTAGTCCAATTTTGATGAACTTTTTTTAAATTGTAGAGCTAAATGAGGGCTACAAAATAAAAAAAAGTTCATTAAAATTGAATTACTGGATGCTGAGATATTTACAAAAAACGATTTTTTGAGTTTCAGCAAAAAGGGTGTTTTTGGCCAAAAGTCCATTATGACCTTTATATTAGATATCCGGGGTCCTATTTTTTACACGTACAGCAGAAGGGCAGAATGGCATACTGTGTTTCACTTTTGTGGTTGTCATATTTTCTTTTTTTTTTGCTTTAGCATCCTTAAATGAAGGTCTATGATCTTCTGTTGTTGGTGTACCATATAGCTTTTCAAATGATATGTAATGCAGGTCTTCACCAGGTACTGGATCTGGAAGATGATGCAATTGTTCAAAATCTTCTGTTGAACAACGAATAGGACGGCAAATAGTACAAGTTGATTCACCACATTTCTTAATTGAAAAAAAGTAATGCCTTGACTTACAACAGTGCTCTAAGAATTCTTGCATATATTCCTATAACAAAGTTACATTAATGAAAGTTTTTTTACACGAAAATTAATCAATTTATTTACCTTTCGTTTTATATGTTCTGCAGTACAATCTTCATGAGTAACACTATCATCTACAATCTGAATTATTTCCCAAAATCTTTCTATTTCCGTTTCTGATGCTGCTGGAAATGTTTTTAAAGGCTCACCTTTAAGAGCTTGATGACTAAACACATCACGAATCAAATGAATTGGAACTTGAAGGCTTGTAATTAGATCTTCCTTCAGGTTAGGATTCTCCTCTGCAATTTTGCGAATTTCATTCATTGTACCACACTTACTCATTAGATTTTCAGACTGATCATTCATTTCAGCTCGCATCAAACCAACTCTTTGAAGTCCTAGATTCAGGATTGACATGATGCGCTTAACAGGATTTTTCCATGAATGTTGTGGTGGAGTTCGGACTGCAACAAGATAATCAAGATCTAATGCAAGAAAAAGACAAATATACGAGAGTTTGACTCGAGTATATGTACAATGATGGTCTGGACCACCATCCGTATAGAGACATAACACAGGTTTGTTATAAAGATTTTCATCAAGTAGTATATTAAACAATTCTGTTGCATGTCGGAGAGGTGAGGAAGGTTGAAAAATTGGATCCTTTAATCCAATGCGTACTTTTCCCGCATAGAAATCACCATTGATCGATTCTGGAATGTCACATATCATCACTACACTTGGTATAATTCCCGTTTTTGTAAAATCATGGTCGGCTACTGTGAATGTGGTGTCTTTACTAACAACTACTTTCTTTCCCCTCTCTATTGCAGCAACAGGAAATCCAGGTTCACCAACTTTGCAACGATGCTTATCATCTAGAAAAATCATATTTGTGATCTCACGGAATTTCACTGCAAATTCCTTCTCATATCGAAATAATGCTGATGCATAATGGGCATCTTGATGATTAGCTCGTAGTTGTCGTGTCTGAACCATAAATTTCAGAGGTAAACGACCGGTAAATTGCAGGCTACTAAGCCATGTTGGATTCTTTGGCCAAAATTGTAATCGTAACCATTGTGCACTAGGAATCAATATTTCAGGTGAACACTCATGTTTAATTTGGTGCAAAAGGTCATTCACTGAGATTGCAGTTGCAAGATGTACGACTGTGTCATGCCTGCGTTCATCTACAGCAGTTACAGTGTCTGCTGCTTTTCCTGCAAGAAACTGAGCTGTAATTTTCCAAAAATCATTATATTTGCCAGGCTGCCCATCGTTATGTTCACGTAAATCTATGGTAATCTTCGGGTCTCCAAGTTCCAAAGCGAATCTAACACATTCATCAACTTTTGCTTCAATTGCATTCTCAGCCGCAGAAATTTCACCTGTTAGCATTCGGTAAATTGTTCGGAGTGCTGATGGCTTGGCCTTTGGGAGGAGAAGATCACATGTACGTAGATAGTTTATCCGCATTGCTCTTGTGTGATAACGAGGTGCATCAGCCTGCAATTCCATTACAATCCGTGTATTTTCTTGAATTATCAAGTCTTCATTAACATGTTCGTCAACTTTCCAGATTGAAATTGCATTAAAAGCATTATTTCCAGAACTAAATCGATATTCTCCAATTTTGAAAGAAAATGCATGAGGTAAACCTTGAATGTAACGCATTCTTTGCCTACAATATGGATTTTACATTAGAATTTTAAACTAAAAACAAGATTTAATATTTTTTTCTCATGCATACACAGGATCATTTGGCAAGTATTCTTCAATATCAACTGGTTTCCATGGTGGTAAATTGCTAAGCAACTGTTCAAGACGGTAATATTTGGTCTTATCGATAGGTATAACCCAAATGTTACACTTGTGGACTTTGATCGTTGTTGCTTGATCGATGGATCGTATGGGGATTCTGATGCATGATTCACAGCAGTAACATTACGATGAAATTGAAGATATCCAGTATAATTCGAAATGGCAACAATGAAATTGTCAAATGCACCACGGAGCCAGTCAAAATTCGCCATTAGCATCCATGACGATGTAGCGCATGGAGCAAGAGATTGGCAATGTAAGTTTAATTCATTTGCATCAAAGAGTTTTCGGGAATGCTTATGTGATTCAGGATTTGCACGGTCAAAAAACTCAAGGAAAATATTAGGTATATGAAAACTACGTTCTTCAAGTTTCTTGTGACTACGCATATCAATATACCAAATTGCTTCAGTTAAGCTAACAATAAATTCCTTTCCTTGTGTGTTAGCATATGATTGAGTAGACCATCCTCCACCATTATTGTGAATCCAATCAACAAGATCATTACGCAGTGTTTGCTTACGATTTCCTGATTGTGGGAATGTTAATAAATACAATTTAGATTTGCGTGCATTTTGCATCAAGATTGCAAAGCCGTTTGGTGATGCTGGAGTGGCTGTTGTAATATCAGTTTTGAGTCGGTAATGTATATATATTCCTACACCCTTCGTAAGTTCTATGATATTACAGTTAAGACTGGCTTGGGTTGCAGAAGCAGTTAGTGCCTCACTTAACTCAATACGTTCTATTTCTTCAGAACTTGTCATAGCAATATTGCATTCAGGAGATATTTCTTTATTAACAAGCTTCATAAAAAAATCTTTTAATGACATTTCATAGGGAAGAGGATGGATATACCAGCCATGGAGTACTCGTGACCCTTTAGAGATGCGAATATTTGCAAATGGCATATTCAAGAAAAAAATGAATTCATACAAGGTTGAAGAAAGTATATCTTAACGCGTTTTTTAAAATTTTCCATTTATGCAATTTTCTATAAGGGGCGCAGTCAAAAAAGGAAACCAGAACGATTGTTTAATTTCTAATATCATAATACATGCAAGATGCATATTTGCTTTATAAATTCGTTTGAGTATTTTTTTTTTCGCCAAAGATCTTTATGACTTATATATTTAAAAAATGATTCCCACGCTTAATTCGTATTGTATTTATTAAATTGTTCGTGAAAATCGAACTAAAAACTTGAATTAACTTGATATGTAAATCAATACATAATAAATACGTAATACAATTTACAATAATTATTGGTTTAAAATTTTTTGTTCTATAAAATTAAAATCCGCGCGCCCGCATCAAATTGAGGCAAATTTTGATATGAGAACCGAATTTTTAACTTTATATCGCCTAATATATATATAAAATAACTTTTATATATCAAAACTATAATTAAATTATAGAAATAATGATAAATGTCAACTATATCAGTATTTTAACAGGTATCAGCATTTTAGCAAATATCAGTATTTTAGCAGATTTTAGTATTTTAATGTTTCAGCAGTTTCAGCATTAAATAAGTAGTTTTGACTTTTGGCATTAAGCTAAATGAGTTTTAGCAGGTAATTTTAATTTAAAGATATATTAGAAATTAGCTGATTTCTTTTAATTAGTAAGTTCCTACCCCATTTAAGGTTGCTTGCCAAAACCTCTCCAAAATCCTGCGATAAATTTCGGCAAGATTGTTTCGGCAGGATTTTTAATATGATTTAATATAGTTTTGGCATTTTCCGTATAAGTTTCGGCAGTTATTAAGAAGGTTTCGGCAAGCAACCTTAACCCCATTTAATTGAAATCTGATTAATTAAAAAAATTTTTATTATTAAGGGACAAATTGCCACTCAACTGGAGAATTTTAATAATGCTGATTTACACAAATTATTGTTAAAAATGGTTAATACTCCTTTTTTACTGGATTGTCATATCATCATGTGATATTGGGGTGTGCGATATCGGCCTAATCACAAACATAGTAAAACCACTATATTGTAGGCCCTTATTGAGGAATTTTTTTGTCAATCATTTTGACGATCATTAAATTGAAAAAAGTTTACTAAGTTTTGAATTATTTTAAATGATTTGCAACATTTAAATAGTATCAATAGGCTATAGTACATTATTTTGAGTATCTTTAAGAAAGTTTCAGCTAAAAATTCACTCTGCATTATGCATTCTTTAAGTGATAGTGTTTTACTCTTTGAGACATGAAACATACTCTGTTGGCACTGTAGTAAGTAAATGCTAGCCTCCAAAAACAACTTTTTTGGAAATTTTAAATGTCGTATTTTAATGAAATAAAGCCGGTTTTTGAATAATAAAATAAAAAAAAATAAAGTTTACATTGCTGTGAAATATTATAACGTGATTTTTACAACTAAATTTATATGTACTCAAAAAATCTGGCTCTATTAGTATGTGTACGCTTGATTTTAATATCATAAACAGTTGCTAAAAATGGAGAGTTAAACATGCATATAAAGTTATGGGCAATTTAGTTTTACTAGTAATTTATTATATATTAATAAAAATCTATAGTAATGATCACTATAGTAATGCATTATATTTGTAAATTAACCGATAACCTGATTTTAAATAGAAAATTTTAAATCCAAAATTCTTTTTTTAAATTTTTTAAATGATTTAAATCCAAGATTCTAAAATATTAATAAATTATAAAATGATCGACAGATGATCGACAAGAAAAATCCTTAATAAGGATGTTTACTATAATAATTGCACTATATTTGTGATTA